CTGGGCTCAAATGATCCTCCTGCCTTGGCCTTCCAAAGTGCTGGGACTACAGGTGTGAACTACCATGCCCAGCCAAAGCACACATATCTTTCGTGAGTGCTTTGAAGTTGGGCTTCTCTGCCAGTGTAAGGTACCTCCTGGCAGCTCCATGCAAAGCTTTATTAACATCCAAGTAACTGTGTGGCATCCCTGTTTGATTTTGGGGAAAACTGGACTGACAGCCTCAGTTCTATTGCTTTGGGCAGATGTTTTGATCAGGAAGTAAATAGGAAGGAGGTGTTTTAGGTCCTTCTGAAATTTACTGTTATCTGGAATAACAGTGCACCTTAGCACTACCAGGCAAACTGGGAACTGGGAAATTTGGCTTTTTTTGTACAGGGTTTGGAGAAGCTTGTGTTCTGACCTGGGCTGGTGGGGAAGGTGGTAGCATTTCTGGAGGGATCAGATTCTGGTAACTTTTGCCTTCCAATGGACAAACCACTTTTCCTTCCATAAAACAGAGGCAGAAGCAAAATTATCTGCCTAAGCCATGTTGTCACATTTTCATAGCAAAGCCAAAACCTAAATTTTCAGGTGAAATTTTCCCATGTAAAAATGCTAGCCACTAATTCCAACATGTTTAAGATACTGTGCAGGCTGAGCAAAAACCAGTGACTCCAGGTCAGCAGGTTGCAATCTTTTAGTGAAGAGGTATCAGGAGAAGCAAGCAGGCATTTTTCAGATGCTAAGACCACATGGAAAGACAAACACAGGTATGCTTACAGGAGGCATGGTACAGATCTTGTGAAAAGACTCTCTAGAAAATCCACTAGATGGTCCCTGGGCAAGATGGCCGAACAGGAACAGCTCCAGTGCAAAGCTCCCAGTGAGATCGACGCACAAGGCAGGTGATTTCTGCGTTTCCAGTGGAGGTACCTGGTTCATCTCACTGGGACTTGTCGGACAGTAGGTGCAGTCCAAGGAGGGCGAGCCGAAGCAGGGTGGGGCAACGCAAATGCAAAAGAATGGAAATCGTAACAAGCCGTCTCTCAGACACAGCGCAATCAAATTAGATCTCAGGATTAAGAAACTCACTCAAAACCACACAACTACATGGAAACTGAACAACCTGCTCCTCAATGACTACTGGATAAATAACTAAATGAAGGCAGAAATAAAGATGTTCTTTAAAATCATTGAGAACGAAGACACAACATACCAGAATCTCTGGGACACATTTAAAGCAGTGTGCAGATGGAAATTTATAACACTAAGTGCCCCAAAGAGAAAGCAGGCAAGATTGAAAATCGACACTCTAACGTCAAAATTAAAAGAATTAGAGAAGAACAAACAAATTCAAAAGCCTGCAGAAGACAAAAAAAGAAAAAATAACTAAGATCAGAGCAGAACTGAAGGAGATAGAGACTCAAAAAAAATGAATACAGGAGCTGGTTTTTTGAAAAGATCAACAAAATGGATCGACCGCTAGCCAGACTAATAAAGAAGAAAAGAGAGAAGAATCAAATAGGTATAATAAAAAGTAATAAAGGCGATATCCCCACCAACCCCATAGAAATCCAAACTATCATCAGAGAATACCATAAACATCTCTACACAAATAAAACAGAAAATCCAGAAGAAATGGATAAATTTCTGGACACTAACACCCTCCCAAGACTAAACCAGGAAGAAGCGAATCCCTGAATAGACCAATAACAAAGTCTGAAATTGAGGCAGCAATTCATGGCCTACAACCAGAAAAAGCCCAGGACCAGACGGTTTCACAGCTGAATTCTACCAGAAGTACGAAGAGAAGCAGGTACCATTCCTTCTGAAACCATTCCAAACAACAGAAAAAGAGGGAATCCTCCCTAGCTCATTTTATGAGGCCAACATCATCCTGATACCAAAACCTGGCACAGACACAACTAAAAAAGAAAATTTCAGGCCAATATCCCTGATGAACATCGATGTGAAAATCCTCACTAAAATACTGGCAAACCAAACCCAAAATCATGTCAAGAAGCTTACCCATCACAATCAAGTCGGCTTTATCCCTGGGATGCAAGGCTGGGTCAACATATGCAAATCAATCAATGTAATTCATCACATAAAGAGAACCAAAGACAAAAACCATGTGATTATCGCAATAGAGGCAGAAAAGGCCTTTGACAAAATTCAACAACCTTTCATTCTAAAAACTATCAATAAACTAAGTATTGATGAAATGTATCTCAAAATAGTAAGAGCTATTTATGACAAACCCACAGCCAATATCATACTGAATGGGCAAAAACTGGAAGCATTCCCTTTGAAAACTGGCACAAGACAAGGATGCCCTCTCACCACTCCTATTCAACACAGTATTGGTTCTGGCCAGGCCAGTCAGGCAAGAGAGAGAAATAAAGGTATTCAAATAGGTAAAGAGGAAGTCAAATTGTCTCTATCTGCAGACAACATGATTGTAGACTTAAAGGTCCCCATCGTCTCAGCTCAAAATAAGCAACTTCAGCAAAGTCTCAGGATACAAAATCAATGTGCAAAAATCACAAGCATTCCTATACACCAATAAACAGACAGACAGCCAAATCATGAGTGAAATCCCATTCACAATTACTGCAAAGAGAGTAAAATACCTAGAAATACAACTTACAAGGGAGTTGAAGGACCTCTTCAAGGAGAGCTCCAAACCACTGCTCAAGGAAATAAGAGAGGACACAAACAAATGGAAAAACATCCCATGCTCACAGTTAGGAAGAATCAATATTGTGAAAATGACCATACTGCCCAAAGTAATCTATAGATTCAATGCTATCCCCATCAAATCACCATTGACTTTCTTCACAGAATTGGAAAAACTACCTTAAATTTCACATGGAAACAAAAAAGAGCCCATGTAGCCAAGGCAATCTTAAGCAAAAAGAACAAAGCTGGAGGCACCACGCTACCTGACTTCAAACTATACTGCAAGGCTACAGTAATCAAAACAGCACGGTACTGGTACCAAAACAGATATATAGACCAATGGAACAGAACAGAGGCCTCAGAAATAACACCACACAGCTACAACCATTTGATCTTTCACAAACCTGACAAAAATAAGCAATAGGGAAAGGATTCCCTATTTAATAAATGGCGTTGGGAAAACTGGCTAGCCATATGCAGAAAGCTGAAACTGGATCCCTTCCTTACACCTTATACAAAAATTAACTCCAGATGGATTAAAGGTTTAAACGTAAGACCTAACACCATAAAAAACCTAGAAGAAACCTAGGCAATACCATTCAGGACATAAGCATGGGCAAAGACCATGACTAAAACACCAAAAGAAATGGCAACAAAAGCCAAAATAGATGAATGGAATCCAATTAAACTAAAGAGATTCTGCACAGCAAAAGAAACTATCATCAGATTTAACAGGCAACTTACAGAATGGGAGAAAACTTTTGCAGTTTATGCATCTGACAAAGGGGTTAATATCCAGAATCTACAAAGACCTTAAATTTTTAGGGGGAAAAAAAAAACATCAAAAGTGGGCAAAGGATATGAATAGACACTTCTCAAAAGACATTTATGTAGTCACCAAATATATGAAAAAAAGTTCATCATCACTGATCATTAGAGAAATGCAAATAAAAAGCACATTGAGATACCATCTCATGCCACTTAGAATGGTGATCATTAAAAAATCAGGAGACAACAGATACTGGAGAGGATGTGGAGAAATAGGAACACTTTTACACTGTTGATGGGAGTGCAAGTTAGTTCAACCATTGTGGAAGACAGTGTGTGATTTCTCAAGGATCTAGAAACAGAAATACCATTTGATCCAGCAATCCCATTACTGGATATATACACAAAGAATTTAAATCATTCTATTATAAAGACACATGCACACATGTTTATTGCAGCTGTGTTCACAATAGCAAAGACTTGGAGCCAACCCAAATGCCCATAAATGGTAGACTGGACAAAGAAAATGTGGCATGCATACACCATAGAATACTATGCAGCCATAAAAAAGGATGAGTTGATGTCTTTGCACAGACATGGATGAAACTGGAAACTATCATTCTCAGCAAATTAACAGAAGAACAGAAAACCAAACACCACATGTTCTCGCTCATAAATGGAAGTTGAACAATAAGAACACATGGACACAGGGAAGGGAACATCACACACGGGGCCTGTCGGCGGTGGGGAGGCTAGGGGAGGGATAGCATTAGGAGAATTACCTAACGTACATGACGCGGTGATGAATGCAGCCAACCACCATGGCATATGTATACCTATGTAACAAAGTAACAGACCTGCATGCTCTGCACACGTACCCCAGAACTTAAAGTACAATTTAAAAAAACGAAAACAGAAAACCCACTAGAAGGTTCTTACAGGTAGCAGTGGTGCTCACCTTGGTTCCCAGAAAACAGAAGTCATTCAAAGATATCAGATGAATGGGTAAAAGAGGGGTTAAACAACAAAGCGTTTTTTTTTTTTTTGACTTGGAGAAACATTCAATGGCCCTTTATTCACCCATGCTCCTTAGAGTGCTGACGCTGCAGCTCTGTGATGCCCCTCCCTGCTCCCACCCCAAGGCCCCATGTCCTATCTGCTCCTGCATCTTCAGGCCCTTGCCCAGGGGTCCTGGGAGTGAATGTTTGCCCCAAGTGTCCCCAGGGCAAGAGGCTGAGACCTGCCAGTGCACCGCACAGCATGACAAGCCCGGCATCCAGGGCACCCGTGTCCTGCCTTGGGCTGCATCTGGGTTCATTCTGCATGCCCGTGAAGCACTGGGGTTCTCCCAGTGAGCCCCAAGGGGCAGTGCTGGTGCAGCCTGTGGCAGAAGCAGGGGAGGAAGCACGTGGGGTCCTGGGTAAGCGCAGTGGGTGGCAGAAAAGAGAATGTGCCTAGTTACACTGGGACTGCTGCCTGGAAGTGGGACCCATCCCAGGAGCCGAGTGCCCGACCCCTGAGCCCCCTGCACTGCGGCACAGAGAGAAATGCCAGCAGGCCGCTCTCACCGTGGACCAGTCCCCGGTTCTCCACTCGTAGCAGCCTGAGTAGTCCTCGCAGGCCTCCTCGGCTCTGGGCCTCGTGGATGCGTCGCACTTCCCTTGTGAGTTGGTGCACGTCACGGTCCGTTTCCGCACCCCTTTACCACAGTTGGCGGAACACTGCAAGACACCATTGGAATACTTAACGCAGTTCCAATTTGACTCTGGACTCCCTCCCACCTGCCAGACGCAGCGTGGGGACGATGCAGAGATGAAACCCACGCTTCTGTCCTCACAGAGCTCACGGTCTGCAGGGTCTTAGGCACCCAGTCCTAGCTGGGGCCCCGGCCCAGTGGCCAGTGTGGGGAAAGGACATAGGAATCAGGAGTGGGAAGAACCTGGGGTGCACATAAGTCACATGAGGGGAGTGGAATTCACTGGCCACTTGTCCGGTCCAAAAGCTCAATGCCATACATGAGCTCAGAGGGCAGGTGTGTGTGATGGCGCCATGAGTGAGGCAGGGGCCGGGGGCCAGCCAGAGCAAGGTGAGGGCCTGAAGCTGAGTCCCAGGCCCCAGATCTCCCCAGCCGGCCTCCAGGCACACGTGCTCTGCTTGGGCCAGCCTGGGACAAAGAAAGACCTCGATCCAGCGGGGAGGAGGAGGAGGCAGACGGAAGGAAAAGCCACCGGTGACATTCTCGTGAGGCAGGTGGCAAGCCTTCGCAGAGAGCTCCAGTGAATGTTTCAACACAGACACCAAGAACGGTGACAGAGGCATGCAGGAGACCTGGGAACAGGCAGTGGGGAGGGGACCTGGGGGTGATGAACAATGTGCATGCTCTCCAGAGTTCAGGATTCCCAGCAGCAAGGAGTGAAGAGACAGAGGCCCGGCATGGTGTTAACACAGCGGATGGGTGCTCTGGGCTGCATCTGGAACCTGCTCCTGATACACCCGCCACGGAACTTGGGGAGGGACCGACCCTGGGTTGGCAGGATTACTTAGCACCTCCAAAAACAAAGCAGAAGGAAGCCCAGGGAGAGCCAACGCAGAGCCTCGGGAGGATGAAACTCACAAAGAAGTTGGCCTGGGGAGCCCCGTTCCTGCCCAGACTAAACACGTAACTTGGAGAGATGGTGTGCGCAAGGCTGGATTCTGCGAAGGCGGTTTCAGACTTGCTATGGCAGCCGACGGCACTGACTGTCTTCAGTTATAACAAGCTCAACTTTAGAAAGTTCTAGGCCAAATGCAGTACTTTACACCCATAATCCCAGCACTTTGGGAGGCTATAGTGGGAGGATCACTTCAGGCAAGGAGTTCAAGGCCAGCCTGGGCAACACAGGGACCCCTGTCTCTTAAAAAACAAATCCCAATGTGTCCAATGGAAAAAAGGTACATAAAGGACAAATGTTATTCTTGATATTTCGTTATTAACATTTATCCCAACATATGACCTAACTTTCTCTTTCTTGTGAATTCAATTCAGCTCCTTGTCTAAAGGTCCCATGGGTTTTCTTCCAAGGAAAATTTACACCGGTTTGAAATGCACATGCTTCAGAACCAGCTGCAATGTCCCCTGCAGGGAGAGGGGAGAGCAGCTGTGTGTGGAGTGTGGAGCTGGTTTAAAGGGTCCTTGGATGCCAGGGGTCAGTCCATGGTGGGCTTTAAATGCAGGATGTCCTGGGCAGGAGCCCCCGGTCACTGCACTGGAGGGCCACCCCTTGCTTCTCTGTGTGGCAAGGTTTCCTGGCCATTTCTGCAACCCCGTCCTCTCTGTCGGCTTGTGGGCTAGCCCTGGCACCAGCGTCCACACAATTTGCTCCTCCAGCCAGGACCCATGCGCCGCTTCTGCCCAAGTGCATTCTTGCCAGGTCTCTACTCTGAATTCCGCGCCTCTTCCCCTTGAAATTCAAGCTCTGAATATCCAGTCTATTTCTTTTTGAGACGGCGTCTTGCTCTGTCACCCAGGCTGGAGTGCAGTGGCGTGATCTCAGCTCACTGCAACTTCCACCTCCTGGGCTCAAGTGACTCTTCTGCCTCAGCCCCCTGAGCAGCTGGGATGACAGGCATGCACCACCATGCCCGGCTACGTTTTGTACTTTTAGTAGAGATGGGGTTTCACAAAGTTGACCAGGCTGGTCTCAAACTCCTGACCTCGTCATCTGCCCACCTCGGCCTCCCAAAGTGGTGGGACTGCAGGTGTGAGCCACGGCGCCTGGCCCAGCCTATTTCTTAACGAAACCCCGACCCTTAGCTAAACTCTGACCAGCCGCCCATTCTCTTGAAGGCCTTGTCTGTGTGGTACTGCAGGCTGCTGATGTCGGCCCCAGCTCTCAGGGGCCGAGGAGGGTGCTCTTCAGCTTCGCCCTTTGCTTCCCAGCAGGGGCAGGGCCTGCAAGCTGAAGACAGGAGGAACTCACTACGTTTTCCTTCCCTCTGGACATTACATCCTCCTTCTAACAAAGTCAGGAAGAAGCTGGGGAGGAGGTAGTGAGAGCAATCAACATAGCTGGCTGGATGAAAGCGATCACGTCAATAAAAACTCCCCCTCGAGAAGCTGAGACCCATTTGCTTCCAGCGGAAGAAAGACTCGCGTTGGGGCTTCGGCACCTGGAGTGGCAGAAGTTCCAGCTTCCTGAGCTTCCCGTGGGGAATGATTTGATTCCAAGTTAAATGTTTAGAAGGAAGCATTCTGCTGAAGCCTGGGCTAAGCCAGAGTTAGGCTGACTGGTGTGGTGTTCGTTCAGGATTAGGATTACGTGTGCACACAGATACAGACATAGAGAAGTTTCTTTAAATCCTGCCCCCATCTTCTCTCACTTTCCAAATGTGGAGATCTTCGGTGCTGTAATGATAACTGATGACATCAGGCTTGGTGGGGAGGTGGGGTTTTTTTCCCCCCGATAAAAACAATCTGAGTGGATTTTTTTTTTTTTTTTTCCCAGAGACTGAGTTTTGTTCTTGTTGCCCAGGCTGGAGTGCAGTGGTGCAATCTCAGCTCACTGCAACCTCTGCCTCCCAGGTTCAAGTGCTCTCTTGCTGCAGCCTGCCAGGCAGCTGGGTTTACAGGCATGCGCCACCGCGCCCGGCTAATTTTTTGCATTTAATAGACACAGGGTTTCACCACTGAGTGAAAAATTTATGGCTTTGATCTGATCAAAGCACAATTATTTAGATCAAGAGCAAGGCAATTAAAACCTAGGCTCACCTAGGGTACTGGAAAGGGGCGGGGACTGAATACCTGCCTGGACCCTTCCAGCAAGGGGCCAAAAAGCAGTCCCTTGAATGTTAAAGCTGACAAACATAAGCATATATAAAGAAAAAAAAAATCAACAAAAGCTCAACTTCTCTTTTCCTAAAATACCATAAAGCATAGGATAAAGATTCTGATCTATAAAGGAAGACACGCCAAGATCTGTCTCAAAACTAACCTCCGTTTTGGAGCAGCCAATGGCAGACTTTTCGTTCATTAAAAATGGGCTTAATACTTTTTTATTCAAAACAATTCCAACTGTTTGGCAATAGTGGGAACTTTAAAGATATTTTCCACACTAAAGAGTGTCTTGGATGAGCCTCTCCGAGTTTCCTAGACTACGCTGGTGGAAGACCTGAGGGAAACCTGCCCTTTATTCAGCTATTTTTTTTGTAGTTTTATAGCCAAACAGTCAAAATCATTAATGCAAAGTCCTGAAGGATGACATCACCAAAGATAAAATCGTATTCCCAGGACCAACCTTCAAAGTGAAGACTTAGGCTTAATCCACTTCTTTCCAAAACGTTTTATGGCATGAGATTTGCACGCTAAAAGCTGTCCCTCCTGGCATCTGACTCTTGCAGTCTACAAAGACTGCTGGGGGATTAAAGGAAAACCTTTGAAACCACCTTCCCAGCCTGAGCGCACCGTTAAATATACCCAAAGGGGAATTAAAAAGTCGGTCAGTATCTGTCTGTCCTATCTTGATGTGGGAATTTTCATAGGAAATGGGATGGAACAGTCCTTCACTGTGGTGTCAACATATACATCATCAAAGACATGGTATCTATGCTTTTGTAGCCACGTTGTTATCTGAGATGAAATTTTTTTTTTTTAAGAGGGAGTCTTGCTCTGTCGCCCAGGCTGGAGTGCAATGGCGCAATCTCGGCTCACTGCAACCTTCGCCTCCCGGGTTCAAGCAATTCTCCTGCCTCAGCCTCCTGAGTAGCTGGGACTACAGCCGCATGCCATCATGCCCAGCTGATTTTTCTATTTTTAGTAGAGACTGGGTTTCACCATGTTGGTCAGGCTGGTCTCGAACTCCTGACCTGTGATCTGCCCGCTTTGGCCACCCTAAGTGCTGAGATTACAGGCGTGAGCCACTGCACTGTCCTGAAATGGATATTAAGAACATGTGAGCTAGAACACATCTTTGAGCTGACCTGGGGGTGAGCGAGGGCTAGGAGGCACCAGAATGTCACCAATACCATGGAACCGTGCTGGAGTCCCTGTGGCTGAGTCTTGGCGGCAAGCCCAGGCACCCACCTGTGACCACTCAGACGCCTCCCAGATGGACAGGCAGTCCTGGCCTTCGCAGCTCTGCACTGGTGCTGGCCGGGGGCCTGGGCAGTAGAGGGGCCGCGTGGCGACGTGTGTGCCGTTCTGCAGCTGGTACACGCAGGTCACCTCCCGGTGCTGGAAGCCTTTCTCACAGGTTGCTGAGCAGGAGCTCCATGGGCCTGCCACCCACCTGCCAGACAGGAGGAAAGACAGAGAGAGAACGAGCCAGGTGAGAGGCCAGCCTCTTTGGAGGGCCTTCCGGCTGGATCCTGAAATTGCAACATTGTGGTGGGCAATCTACAAAGACTTCTGGGGATTCATGGAAAACCTTTAGATTGCAAGAGGGAGGCAGACCCAGGAGGCTTTTCAGTCAACCTTCGACAAAACTCAGAGTAACGGCACAGAGGGAGCGGCTTGAGCGGTCCTCTGGTTGGATGGACTCCTTGGCACAGACATATTTCTGCAACTAACACCCCTACGGCAGACGGGGTTATGTGGTCACGGCCTCCCTGCAGGGGATTACATATCCACCTGTTGTCACGGGACCTGCTTCTTTCGACGGGGTGTGAGTGAACAGGATGCTGGCCGCGTCCCGGCAGAAGCTCTGAACGTGGTTATGCAGTTTGGCTCTGACTCTGTTTCCTACTCTCTGCTGGGAGGAGTCCCAGCACCGGGAAAGCCCGTACCGCCTGCACTGCTGTCAGCGACCGAGAAGTCGGAGTTGTTTGTCACTGCAGGAACAGGGGACTGACACAGCCCTTGACAAGGGAACCCCCATCCCACACCGGCCCCAGCTTGATTAACCAGAAGCAGGCACCCTCTGCTCTCCAGAGCTTAGGCGGCTGTGACGCTTTACAGTGGCAGGTTGTGGGCCGTGGAAAGACGGAGGCTGTTGAGGTTGGTATCTGACAGCGTTCTAAAACTCTGGCTCAGGCTGGGCGCAGTGGCTCACATCTGTAATCCCAGCATTTTGGGAGGCCGGGGTGGGCAGATCACAAGGTCAGGAGTTTGAGACCAGCCTGGTCAACATGGTGAAACCCTGTCTCTACTAAAAATACAAAAAAAAAAAAAAAAAA